AAAAGGACGGCCGCGAACCGAGAACGGCCAATTCGCTCATCGACGTGTCAGGGTAGGAGGTCTATCAACCTCCGACCCTACAGTTCATCCGCAGAGGCTAGGGGGAAAACAAACCTACCTCGCTTTTGACCACCCTCGATTCCAAGGGATACCAAGCGATGCCAAACTACGGCCTGTACTGGTCAGGCCGCTTGACGAGGAGGCGCGTGGTATGACCTGGTTGTGCCTGGAAGCGAAGGCGGGGTAGGTAATTCACGCTCTGAGAGGCCGGAGGCACATGCGTGGCCGGAGGCGCACGCCGAGCAGCGCGGAGGCCGCTGCCGGATGCGGAGGACCACCCCGCCTGGCCCCGCGAGAACCGGGCGAGCTGGACAGACCTCCGGGCACACATTTGCGCTCCCAGCCCTCGCCCGGGGCGGGCGGCGAGCGACGGGCAGACCGCACCGACTGCGAGGAAGAAGAACACCCAGGCCAAGAAACACCCTGCTTGACTCCAGGGTGCCCTGGAATTTCCTTGGGCTTCTTGGGTGTCGATGGTTCTGCGGTGGGAAACGTGGCGCTCCCGCATCAAAAATCACTGAACGTCCTGGGGTCTCAGGGTTGGGTTTCTTGTGAGCGTTCTCGTATTCGGCGTTTCGACATTGGGCGGAAGGAGGGGGGGAAGGCGGGTCTGGCTCCGGACCTCTGCTTTTAGTGCGGCTGTTTGGATCCGTGCGCTCATCATGGGGGAGGCCCCACATGCTCGAAGCGGGCGCCAAAGACAGCCAAGATCTACTCGGCTCCTCCTCCTCCTCCTCCTCCTCCTCCTCCTCCTCCTCCTCCTCCTCCTCCTCCTCCTATGGGTGCGAGGGCCCGCGCCGATCGGCAGAGCAGTGAATGAGGAAGCGATCCCCTCCTTGGATCGGCGCCAAATGGGGGGCCGCCCGCCGATCCGAGAGAGCCTTGCGGACCTCCGGCGGATTACGTTTTCGTGATTGGTTTCATCGTCGAACCCACCAACACCAGGCCGGCCATCTCCTCCTGCAGGCGGATCTTGGAAGAAGAAGCAACCAGCTCAGCACAAAGAGGCAACAACGAATACAGGATAGTCAAACAAAATCGTCCCCCGACTATAGTCGTGCTTGGCTGTCTGTGGAGATTCCTCCTGTGGAGGGACCTGCCCGACTTCATACCAGCACGCCTCCCAGAATCCGCCCTGAGCCCCGGGGGCTCCCCTGCCGAGCCCGTGCGGCGTCCGAGCCGGTCCGCCCGCGGGGACCGCACGGGGCCCCGGCTGTCCGAGCTCGTGCCGAGTAGCTTTTCCTTGCTGGAGGAGCGCGAGATGCACGGAGGAGGAGAGGGCGCCCAGCAAGGAGAGGGGCGGGCGCAGCGGCGCATGCGGGGGTTCTCCCAACAGGAGCGTGAAACTTGCGGGGCGTGTGAGACGACCGCACACGCGATCAGGAGCGTGAAACGTAGGGCGTGTGCGGATACCACTCCTCGCGGGGGAATCCGCCGGTCCTCTGGAATGGAGGCAGGATGCGTCATGTGAGGCGGTGGGGCATTAGGGAGAGAGGACGGCGTGCACGCCAGGGATGCTCCGGCAAATGGTGAAGCGACAGTCTATAGCCAACTGCCAGTGGCGCTGCTATGGAACAAAGGAGCGTTATTAACATATGTTTATCAATATATGTCAAGCTGTATATATATATATGTAGATAGATAGATAGATAGATATGTATGAAGGGCGAGGGCGCGACGACGACGGCGGCGGCGACCACGACGACGACGACGAGGTGCCTGCAATGGCAGGGACGAGGACGAAGACGACTACGAAGAACACGATGGCGACGACGACGACGACTACGGGACGATGCCCTACAGAATGTGGACCCCTAGAGATCTGCATCCCCTCTCCAGGGCAGATGGGCTCATCCCGACAACTCTTTGACGCACCTGGGTCCTGGTAAATTGTCCCTGTGGGGCGACCAGGTGTGTTCACACTGCAGAAAGCTGTCTTTGCAATGCGAGGACGTCTTTGGGGGGAAACACCCACAGGGACGATGCTCGACCGTAAGTGCTGTCCAAGCTGGGCAGCGACTGCTGTTAGACAGACGACGCGCGCACACTGAACCAGCCACGTTCGCCTTGAAACCGACAACGAACCCTGCCACAAACGAACGTGCAAGAATACTCTCACGTTCACCACGGCAGACAGCACAACGCATCCATTGAGTAAGGGTTGTGGTCCCGACGACTGAGGTCAGGAGCGACGAACGACTAGTGCCGCACGGCCTAAGTATGAACGAACAACAACTGCCGTCAGCCATTGTCCAAACATCGCTCCGTCCGCACCTTTCGGCCTTCTCGAGAGGCCCAAGCACAGCGCCAAAACGGAGGTCCTTGCCCCCCGCCCGTGTGGTCCAAAGATGTCCGTCTAAAAAACTGAGGGGGGGGAACAGTCCGTTGAGGTTATCGTGCCGAGCAGAGCGAGGGCCAGCCCTGGTAGAAAAGGGAACCTTGGGAACGACATGGGCCAAAGAGATTGTAGAACGCCCGTTTCTGGAACAACAAACAGGCATAAAGTCAGAAGTTGAAGTGGAGGACAAAAAAACATGCATAAACATACATAAAAACCTCCGCATCTCCATGAAAAACTCTCGGGTCGGCGCTGGGCCCCCCTGGCGGCGCCTCTGGCGCCGCCCGTCGCGCTCCGCGCGCCAGGGCGGAGGGAGGAAGCGCAGCTCCAAGAAACCCGCGCGGTCTGCGACGAGTTTGTCTGGATGCCATTGTCATTCCTCTCGGGGAGACGTAAGACTCGGGTACGGGGGACTCGGGTTGGCCTGACGGGGCCACCATAAAAATGACGAGACCCAATCTGAAATTTGACGCGAGCTCCCGCTGCAGACATCCCACGAAAACTGGACCGTCAAAATCCAGGACGCGCTCGTCAAAAAATGTCGGCAAACCCGAGTTCCGGCTTACTCGAGTCTTACGCTTCCCCGATCCTCGATGGAGAGGACCCCGCTTACAGTCAGCCCGCATCAGAAAGATGCGCGGCAGGGATGCAGGGTCCTTGGAAGGCCATGCCGGCACTTGGCGAGCGGGGCGCGGCCAGCGAAAGCGGCCAAGGATGGACCGAGGAGGCAAGGATTCAAGGGTAGCCTTGGGTCGGGCATGTCTCCCTACAGGCGGATTTTGGAGGAACGATTTCGAATAGTCAAACAATGCTAAAACATAGTCATACCATACGCCAAAAATCGTCCCCAGGCTATGTTTCAAAATATGTTTGAATGCTCCTCCTGTACCGGGACAGGCCCAACTTAAGAGTAGCCTCGTGAAGGTTGTCCATCACTGCTAAGCGGGTTGGCCGCAACGGTAGGCCAACCCGCTCCCCTCCTCCTCCTCCTCCTCCTACTCCTCCTCCTCCTCCTCATGCTCCTCCTCCTCCTCCTCCTCGTCCTCATGCTCCTCCTCCTCGTCCTCATGCTCCTCCTCCTCCTCCTCCTCCTCCTCCTCCTCATGCTCGTCGACGTCACGATGCTCTGGTGACGGTGGACCCCCCAGAGCTTCCCACCCCTTCCCTGGGGAACGAATTATCATCGAGGCGGGAGATGCACCCCTCCGCCTCTTCCTCCTCCTCCTCCTCCTCCTCCTCCTCCTCCTCCTCCTCCTCCTTATCCTCCACCTTCCCCTTCTCATTCCATGTTACTCTGCTCTCTTCCTTCCCCCCCTCCTCCTCCTCCGCCTTCTACTACTTCCGCTCCTCCTTCTTCTCTTCATTATCCTGCTTCGCCGCGTCCTCCTACACTACTGATGGTGCTCCTCCTGCTGTCCATCCTCTCCTTCCTCCTCCCTCCTCCCTTCGCCTTCTCCCCCACCCTTCTCCTCCTCCCAACATCCTGCTCCTGCTCTCATCCTCATTCCAATCGTCCTATGTCTCTTCCTCCTCCTCGTTCTCATCAGCAGCATCAGCATCATCACCATCATCACCAGCATCATCAGACTCAGCATCATACTCATCATCAGCATCATCATCATCATCAGCATCATCATCCTCATTGTCACTATCATCGACATAAGCGTCATCCTCACCATCACCATCATGAATATCACCAGCATCCGCATCACCAGCATCAGCATGATCATCAAGCTCATCATCATCAGCAGCAGCCTCATCATCCTCGTCTCCCCCTATCACCATCATCATCAGCATCCTCATGAGCATCAGCATCATCCTCATGATCAGCAGCCCACCTCCTCATGATCCTCGTTAGTCCTCCGCGCCATAATCAACAACATCAACATCATATGTGCCAACATCAACACCAGCCATCAATACCGTCATCACAAACCATATCAACATCATCGGCATCACCATCATTTACATCGCCATCGTCATCATCGTCAACAACACCACCATCATCCTCATCATGATCAGCGTCCTCACCGCATTGATCCTCATCATCATCCGCAGCATCCTCATTGCACATACCCACCCAACCATCATCATCATCATCATCATCATCATCGCCAACATCAACAAGTATCATCAACCATGGCCATCGCCATCGCAACCACCATCACCATCATCACCTTCAGATCATCACCATCATCATCAGCATCAGCATCAGCATCCACCGCCGCATCCTTCCCAACATCAGCATGATCAGCACCGTCATCGTTGACCGCGGCATCATCGGCACCTGCATCACCATGACCACGATCACCTTCAGCATCATCACCCCGGGCCTCCCAGCACTCCCCGCCCTCCTCCCCCTCCTCAGCTCATCCGCATTCCCCCTCGTCTTCTGATCCCCCCTCGCGACCCTGTTCCCCATCCAAC